TCTAAATGAAACCAAAGGGTAAACATTTACCCTAGACCAAAGATGATAAGGTAGGGGGCAACAGGGAAGCTAGAGTAACAGAAACAGAACAACCAGAGTAGAAATAATGGGAATACTGACGCATTGGGAAAAATGTAACCAATGTCACTGAACAATATGTATAGAAATTAATAAATGAGAACCTAGTTTGCAGTGTAAATTTTCACCAAAAACACAATAAAATTTTTTTAAGAAGTATTTGTTGAAGAGATACACTGGTTCTCAAACATTTGTAGTCAGATTTCCCTTTCTGTTGGGTTTATTGTTTATGCTACAAGGGGTTTTAAAGCAAAGACTTGGCCTCTGACTCCAGCTTCTGAGTCTTGTCTCACAGAATCCATCATGTTGTTATCACCAAGATCCTAAGACATTTGGTAGCAAAACCAGAAATGACTCCATTAGCATGTGACCTGGGCCTGAGACACAGGTAGGTGGGCTGCATCCACAAAGCTGTAGGAGGTACAAAGGCTTCTTCTCTGCTATAAAGTGTGGTCCACATGCTACAAATGCCACTGATAGTTTCTACTCCAGTTGGGCTGGGGGGGGGTTGCTCTTCTATTCTGTGCAGTAACATAGGTTCGGCACTATAGTCACCCCTTTTCTAGGCATAGGCATCTGTCTTTCCCCCACGTCGACTCCTAGTAGCCTTGTTGCAGGTCCTGCCTGCGTTCTCACTTGTCCTCCACGTGAGACTGTGAATCAACATGTTAATCTCACCCCCCTTCTGGAAACTCCTTTCTTCCCCAACTCCAACGTTAGGTTGCTTCTGGTTCAGCTCCTGCATCTCTGACTCGGCTCTTTTTAGCATCCTTTGAGGACCGCTTTAGTCCTGTTGCTGTCGGTTGCCACTGAGTCGGCTGTGACTCAGGACGACCTTAGGTACAACAGAACAAAACATTGCCTGGTCCTGTGCTGTCCATAAATGTGGATTTCTGTCAGGGATGCTAAGGAGCCCTGGTGGCCCAGTGGTTAAGCACTCGGCTGCTAACTGAAAGCTCAACTGTTAGAACTCACCAGCTGCTCCACGGGAGAAAGATGTGACAGTCTGCTTCCTTAAAGATTATAGCCTTGGAAACCCTATGGGCCAGTTCTGCCCTGTCCTAAAGGGTAGCTATGAGTTGGCATTGACTCGATGGCAACAGGCTTAGTATTTTTTATTGTTAGGGATGCCTACTCAATTCTTTTATCTATTCATTTCTACTGCCTTGCATGATTTTTTTTTTCTCAGTCTTCAGCTATTACCCATGTGAGGGTGCTTTTCAGTTGTGTACTTCCATTCAGATCTCTGAGATGCGGAACTTCATGTCAACTTTCCAGCTGAACATCCTCACCCCACATGCCATGAACCCACAGACTCAGCACTTGCACTGTGGGCTTCATTCTTTTCCCACTGCACAGCACCCGCTCCATTCCACTTAGAAAGCCTCTCAGCAGAGCACAATAATGCTCATTCATTTGATCAACATACTTAATCACTGACTAGACAGTGAGCATGGTACTAGATGGGTGGGAATTGTGATTTAGGCCCTCAGAGAGTCGGGTGAAAGAGATCACTAGGTAAATCTTCTGAGTGTGTGTTATAGCTCAGAAGTGGCACTCTGTCCAGGAAGTAAGCCATATAAGCCACTAGTTTTTCTAGGGCTCCAAGCTCCCACCGGGCTTATAATAGACACACTCCCAAAGGAGTGTTAAATACCATTTGTTGTTGAGTCGATTGCAACTCATGGAGACTCCATGTGTGCAGAGTTCAACTGTTCTCCATAGGGCTTTCAATGGCTGTGACCTTTCAGAAGCTGATTGCCAGGACTTTCTTCTGAAACACCTCTTGGTTTTCTCGAACTGCCGATTTTTCATTTAGTAGCTCAGCATTAATTGTTTGCACCACTCACGGATTCCTAGGAGTGCCTAGAGCCCCAACAATTAAAAAGCAAAATACTCTTCTTTATTCTCAATACCAAGTCAGATCCTGTCAATAAAGTTTGCTGGAGAACCTTAATATCTCTCATTTCTTCTTGAGCGTCCTTTCCTCAATATCCTGAGACCATCTTGCCTACTAACTAGCTAGAAATCCATGTAGACTTGCACTCATGTTATGTAAAGCCCTGCTCAGATCTCAGTAAGAGCCTTTATCTTCTGTGAGACCACCCTCCAGGAGAGCTGTGAAGGTGTGGGGATGAGTCATGTGCCCTATGCTGACCTCATGGCAACTTGGCTCCAAGACAAAGTCCCACCCACACAACCCTTACTTATGGACTCTAGTGGAGCCACAGCTAGAACTTTGTTCTTCTAACTTCTAGTTCATTGTGTAGAAAGATTATCTAGTCCTTAAGTACTATGGTTTCTCAACTATAGATTTTATAGAAGAAACTATTTCTCAAAATTTTGGAGGCCAATGGTTTGGCTGACTCTGTTTTGAAGATTAATGTGTTTAAAACAAGCAATAGCAACAACAAAAATCAAAGCGAACCCCACCATATGTTCCCACCATCATTTCAAATATTAACAAACTGTTTAAACCAAAATTTCAAGAAGACACTCTCTGAATAAAGATGAGTTCCTCTCCAGAAAGAAGGTTTGGTTCACCTTCATTTTAAATGCAGAAAAATCAAATGTTAGCGTCTTAATAGCTGGGGCCCTATTAGGGAGGAAATATTGTCATATTGTTGATGGGAATATTTTAATGTAAGTGCTGAGTGTGAAAGGTAAGCCCAGCGGCATTGTTCTGTACAATGCAGCTAGAGGAATGTGGAGATCCTGGGGAGGTCTGGAAAGGGGGTGTATAAGTAAGGACGGGAGGGACTTGGTGAACAGCTGTGTTCCGCATCATATCCTTCCTTTGCAAAGTTGCCAAATCTTCAGCAGTCCACTACACTCACCAACACTTGATATGCATGACTTTGTGGACAAGGAAACTGACGAGGGCTTACCTTTAAGGCCAGGTGATGTGGCCAGGTTAAAGCAGGCCGGAGGACTATAAACTTCCATGGGAATGGTCAGATATCTTGGGAAGGCTTTGGATCTCCATAGATTTTGAAAGATATAAGTTCTAGGAAATTTCAACTAGATCTTGAAGGAACAGAGCACTTTATGGATTTTATCTGGATTATAAATGCATTTATAAATTATAATCAATGTTTTTTACAATCAATAAAAATCCCCTGCTGATAGGAGCCATTGTTGTAGGAAATTAATAAGATATATAAGCTCCTCTTGGGGGTGGGGGACACTTCTTGGGGTTTACACCAAGCACTGACCACTGCCAGAGAACTGGGCAACATGGACAGAGGCTGAAAGGGGACTTCTAAAGGAGAGAGGGCAGCAGGCGGAGGAAGAATTCTGAGGGGGGTGGGCACAGTGAGCACAATCTGTCTGTATTTTTGGGTGGGCCAATGAGCTGGCAGCTGGCACAGGGACCTGTCTGCTGGTTGGCCTCAATGCCAGGGTGGTCAGAAAAAAGAGGTCTTCTGTTAGTTATTAATCACCCAGAACTCCTGAGCGTTCACTCTTGGGGAGCGGAACAGGCTGCCTCTGCTGACCTCACCACAGTCCTCCTTCAGTACCTGCTGGAGCCAGGCTTGCACCATCTTCCCCATCGGAATTTTCTCCAGCGCAGAACATTCCCTCCATTGTGGTTTTTTTTTTTTTCCTCTCTCTTACAATAAGAATGTGAGCTTGGGGAAGATAAATCCCAAATCAGCCAGGGCTGGGGTTTTGTTATTGTTGCTTTTGTTTTGTTTGTTTTTTTGGTGTCCCTAAAAAGAAACTGTATAGCAGGCAAGAAGGTGAAGTGGTTCCTCATTTAAACACGCCCCAGGGCCCTTGCAAGGAGCCCTGGTGTTCAGTGGTTAAAGCACCTGGCTGCTAATTGGAAGGTCAGCGGTATGAACCCACCATCTGCTTCACAGGAAAAAGACGCGGCAGTCTGCTTGCTTAAAGATTACAGGCTCTACTTTGTCCGATAGAGTGGCTAAGATTTGGAGTCAACTCAACAGTAACAGTATTTTGGTTTTTTATTTTGGTTATGTTGGCAGAAAGACAGAGTCTTGGCTTGCCCAGGAGGCCACGTGGGGGTGTTGTGGGACCACTGAGCCCCAAAGTTGGGGAAGGGACTGACAGGTGGCTGCCTGGCAGGGGAGGGTTAAGGAGAGTCCTCTTTGGTCCTTTCATCAGCTAGAGGCTGGATGGTAGAGACATAGGGAGGTTAATGTGAGGGTGTTTTGTCCCAGCGGGGAGATGTGAACTTCAGCCTTAGGGAGACTCTGAACTCCCAGGAGAAGGGAAGAGAGTGAGGCTGTGGGGGGTCACCTGAATGCCCTGGGTAAGGGGACAGGCAGAGGAACAAGAGCAGAGGGGCCCTGGGGACAGACGTGAGACAGAGCTCCCACAGTGTTGCATTAAAAGTCCTGATTCCTTTCCTGGGCTTCCTGCCCCTTCCCCCAACTTTGCACTTGAATCCTACTTTTGCTTGAGGTTTTATGTAAACCCCACTGTGCCTGCATAGTACCATTAAGACTGTTGCTGCTGTAACTTGTATGAACTCCCTACTTGTAAACCTCTTAAAAGCAGCTTGTCTCTTCGCCCTTGGGGAACAGTCTTGGCAGCAGCAGTTCTGACTGACTCCTTTTCCTTGTACAATGAAGTAGAGATGCCTTTCCTGTTCTCCCACCTTGCTCTCCTTTACTGGCCAATACTAGTCATGTCAAGCATGAACCTGGAGTTTCCTCCCAGTAAACAGACAGGTAGCCTGGAGCCTCCAGCCTGGACCCACCCTGCTGCCCTCCTGGTCTGAGAGGTCTGCAGGAGAGGAGGGGGTCCCAGGCCAACTGGGCTAGGAACTGGCAGGGAGGTCAGATGCCTGCCCCAGCAGGGACAGTGGCTTCAGAGTGGTGACATCACAATGCTCACCTCCAATCAGAGAAGGGGTGCCAGCTCCAGGAAGACAGGCCAGAACACTGCCAGGGAGACACTGCACCGTTCTGCCTTACTGGCCATGGGCCCCAGGCTCCTCTGCTGGGCGGCCCTCAGCCTCCTGGGGGCAGGTGAGTCCTGAGCATAGCTGGGATGCCCCTGTTCCGGGCTCGACAGTGTCTGAGCCAAAGGTGCCATGGGGTCCTTGCTGTCTCCATTCCAGCCCTGGTCTCCAACCCCACAGGCGCAGTGGGGTCTGGAGTTACCCAGACCCCGAAACACTTGATTAAAGCACGAGGAGAGCATGTGATGATGAGCTGTTTCCCCCTCTCTGAGCATCTCTCTGTGTCCTGGTACCAGAAGGCCCAGGGCCAGGGCCCAAAGTTCCTTGTTGAGTATTACAACGGGGAAGAGAGAGACAAAGGCGACATCCCGGACCGGTTTTCAGGCAAACAGTTCTCTGACTACCGCTCGGAGCTGAACCTGAGTGCCGTGGAGCTGGGAGACTCAGCCGTGTTCCTCTGTGCCAGCAGCTTGGCACAGCCCTGCAGAGCCACTGCCGCCCTATACACAAACCCCTCTGCCCGGCTGAGGAAGTGATGGTGAGAGACAAGGGGTCCCCCACGCTGAGCTCAGTCTGGCTGAGCTGAGGGCTCCCGAGACACTCTTTCCACTACTCATCTGTAATGTGCTTCAGTGCTGACAGAAGTGTGCTGAAGAAGGACTGTGTGACTGTTTATTCAGCAGAACCACAACTGACAGAGGTGAAGCCAGTCTCCTGCTCATAGAGATCACAAACGGCAGAGCGAGGAGTCACACTGGGCTCCTGTCTTCTGGCACCTGTGGGCTCCCCACCCCACTCTGCAGAACTATCCCTGCATCAGCTTCTCCTTTCCAGGCCCAGCTGTGCAGGAGCAGGAAGGTCATAGGTCATGCACCGCATGTCATTGTCATGCCCACTCTCCCGACAACTTCAGGGCAGTGAGTCCTACAGGCGACAGGAGAGAAAGGCACAGTTTTCTGCACTGGAGGAATTCCATCCTCACGGAATAAGATATACAGAATTACAAATTGTTTTGCCAAAAGAAAAGTGTCTCAGGTTGGGTTCTCTAGAGAAGCAAAACCAGTAGAATGTATAAATATATATATGTAGAGATTTATATCAAGGAAATGGATCACACGGTTGTAGAGCCTGGAATGGCCCAAGTCCTTGGGTCAGGATTGAGGCCTCTCCTGATTCACGTACTCAAAGAGGCTGGCAAACTCAAGATCAGCAGGTCAGAGAGAACGGCTCTTGCTCACAGGATGTGAAGATAGATGAATCCCAAGATCAGCAGGCAAGACAACAGGTAAGCTGCTAGCTCAAGTCCCAAGAACCAAACTTCAGAGGAACAGCAGCCAGCTGCAGGATCTAGAATGAGCGAAAGTCCACAAGCCTTGCCAGAATACCCACTTATATTCAATGCAGGTCACATGCCCAAGGAAACTCCCTTTCAACTGATTGGCTAATCACAGCAGATCCCATCATGGAGGTGATCACATACCATCAAATCTCATCGTGGAAGTGATCACAACATCATATGACGATCAAACCACTGAGAATCATGGCCCAGCCAAGCTGACACACTAGGTTAGCCATCACAGCAAGAAAGTCTAATCTACTTAGAAGACTTCTGTAATTGCAGAGGAGGACGTTTCTCCCACTCTGAGCTGTTGCTCTGCGTGTTTATTGTCGACTTGAGGTTCCAGTGAAAAGGGGCGTGGCTACTGTGGTAGGCGGCTCTGGGGCCAGGCTGGGGCTGGAGGGTGACATCTCAGAAGGAGCCCTCCAGAACCTATCCCTGCACGCTGCCTGCCCCTGCCATGAGCCTCCTGTGCACCGTGGTCCTGGCTGTCCTGGGGGCAGGTGCATCCTGGGCGGGACCCTCCCCTCTCCTAGGATTTCCCGATCCTGCCCCAGCCTTTCCCTGTGGCTGCAGCACCAGCTTTTCTCTCTGTCCCCACAGGGCACACAGATGCCGGCGTCACCCAGACCCCGAGGCACAAGGTCACAAGAACAGGAGGGAACGTGACCCTGCAATGTGCCCAGGACATGAACCATGAGTGCATGTACTGGTACCGACAAGACCCTGGGCTGGGGCTGCGGCTGATCCATTACTCAGTCCTTATTGGTGATACCCAAAAAGGGGACATCCCCGACGGGTACAGTGTCTCCAGATCAAACAAAGAGCACTTCCCCCTCACGCTGGGGTCGGCCGCCCCCTCGCAGACAGCTGTGTACTTCTGTGCCAGCAGTGTCTACACAGTGCTGCACGGCCAGCTCAGCCCCTCACAGAAAGGGCTCAGGAGGCCCCCGCAGCCCACTGAGCCCGAGGAACTCGGAGCTGGGGTGACAGGTGCAGGAGCCTCTGTTCCTGCTACGGTCCAGCTCCAGGTCAGCTGGCCTGGACCCAGTGATGGGGACCCAGGGGAGTGTCCCTGGGCTAGTGGCAAACACAGAGCCCCAGTCGTCCCGCCCCTGGGCCCCTTGCCTCACTCCCAAATGCTCTGCCCTCTAAAACCTGGCTCCCACGGTCCCCCTGAAGGAAAAGGAATTTGTAACTACAGTCGTCCAGTTAATAAATGTGGACATATATTAGTGACCATGGAACAAGTGGGCGTCCTCTTAGCTGTGAAATGAAGAACTGAATCCCCTGTGACAGCCTCGTGGGTTTCTGGAAGCAAAGGGAGACGCACTATTGCATATTACACACCGGTATTTCTTGGGTGCTGAGCTGACGTCTCCTTCCATAAAGAAGATGAGAGGAAGCTATTTCTGTGCCACTCAAGTCTGGCAGAGCTTTCACATGGGCTGTGGGGACAGAGTCATTCATGGAGATGAATGAACAAGGGGACATTGGTCTTTGACCGGGGGAAGGAATAGGAGCTCTTGACTCAGGCACTGGCCCAGACATCATTTCATCTCTTGTGTCCCTGGATATCTCAGCACCTTCGAGCCCATCCAGGGCCAAGCCGAGTCAGCCCCCAGTACCCACGCTGCCTAAGGATGATGGTGCTGAGTGTGGCCGGGAGGGCTGAGGGGTCATGGCAGACATGGACACCTAGACCATGGGATTGTCTTCGGTGGGGGATTTGAGGTGCTGGCATTGCATCACAGTGAACATGCCGGGCAGATTGAGTGAGTGGTGAAGGAGAAGATGTGCTTAGAGACATGGTGTGGGGTTTCTGTGACCAGGCGGTACTGGGGCCCTGGGCCGGGACTAATGTGGTGGTATTTTAAAAAGGAGCTTATCTGTACTCAGATGTTCATGTGTTCCTGAGGCCATGGGGGACTGATGAGACAGTGATGTCACCTGTCTTGTGGGGAAAAGGATGCCCCTCCTCTGCTCCTGTGCACAAAGACCCTGACCTGGCAAACATCCCAGTCTGCCCCACCCACCATGCTCTCCAGACTCCTCTGCTGGGTGGTCCTCTGCCTCCTGGGGGCAGATGAGTCCTTGGATACCAAGTAGTTCCAGTGTCTTGTGGGGTGTGTGTGTGTATGTGTCTGCATGCATGTGGGGCATGTGTAAGTGTGAGAGTATGTATTGTGTGTGCATGTATGTGGTCTGTGTGTGCGTGTGTGTGTGTGTATGTGGTGTGTATACCTGTGTGATGTGCATGTGTGGATGTATGGTGTGTGTGTGTGGTGCATGTGGTGTGTGAGCTGTGGGGTGTATGTATGACTTTGGCGTGTGTGTGTGCACGGGGTAGTGTGTGTATGGTGTGTGTGACGCATGTGGTTTTTACGTATGGGTGGTGTACATATGTGCATGATGTGTGTGTGTCTGTCTGTCTGTGTGGTGATTCCCCTTGTTTTCCCCGGTTTGTTCGCAGCATCTATCTTCACAGGTCACACAGGTACTGGAGTCTCCCAGGCCCCCAGGCATAGGGTCACAAAGAGGGAGCAGACTGTAACCCTCAAGCGTGATCCAATTTCTGGTCATGCTGGCCTTTACTGGTACCGACAGACCCTGGGGCAGGTCCTGGTGCTCCTTATGTATTCCAGAATGAGTTTGCAGGAGAGACGGGGATGCCTGAGGCTCAGTTCTCTGCAGAGAGGCCCAACGGGTTGTCTTCCACACTGAGGATCCAGCCCCTTGGCTGTGTACCTAGGTGCCAGCAGCTTAGCCATAGCATGGCATTGCTACTTCCTTCCTGTGCACAAACCACATACTCCTCTTCTCTCCTTGCCACTCCTAGAACCCTGAGCTGAGGTCTTTCTCTACCCTCCACTCCCCAGGAAAGAAGTAGACTAGGACATCAGCTGACCTTAGGAAGAGGCCAGACCACATGTGAACTGCTGAAGTGCTGTGACTGTAGAGGTTGGGTGGATGGAAATGAATAGACGGTAACTGAAATGTCTGCCCAGTCCTTTGCTGATCTTTATCTACTGGGGTTACATTGATGGTCTTGTGTGCAGTGGAGGGTATGACATTTTAGTATATCTTCCATAATGGAGACAAAAGGACCTCTTTCCGTTTCACATTCTGTGTTTTCCTAACTATTTTAGACTAGATTCTATTTCCTTCTGTCCCCCATTCTATTCCTCTCCCTTTCAGAGCATGGTTTTAAGGGAGAAAATCCCAATTAGATGATAATGGTCAGATATGCCATAGGAGTTAAGCACAATGAGGGTGGGATATTAAACAAGGTATCTCAAGGGAATAGAGTTAAGATGTTTTGGGCTGGGTTCTCTAGAGGAACAAAATGAGTGAAACGTATATATAAAGATATACAGAAAGAATTGTTTCAAGGAAATGGCTCACACAATTGCGGAGGCTGGCCAGACCCAACTCCGTGGGTCAGGGGGCAGGCTGGAGGCTTCTCCTGACTCACGTGGTTGTAGTAGTTCGTGAATCTAAAATCTGCAGGTCAGGCGGCACGCTTAAGGCTACTTCAAGAACTGAAGTTCAACCATGAGATGAGTGCAGGATCGAGGAGAGAGCACAAGCTTTGCCAGAACATCCATATGTATTAGATACAGGCCACACCACCAAGGAAACTGTCCTTCCGACTGATTGGCTGCTTACATCAGATCACAACTGGAGAATGATTATACAATATCTGCCAAACCACTGAGAATCATGGCCTAGCCAAGTTGACACATAACATTAATTATCACCTAGGGTTAGGACTAGTGTTGGGACCAGGGTTTGAAGACGTTGATTGTAAAACTTCCAGAATATTTTGGAATATGCACCCTGCTGACTATGCAGAGGTCCCTGTGTGGTGCACAAGTTTGCTCTCAACTAGTACTGAGGGGTAGGCAGTTTGAATCCACCCAACAGAACCACAGAAGTAAGGCCTTGGCAATCTGCTTGCATAGAGATTAAATTCAAGAAAACTTTATGGAGCTCATTTCTACTCTGTAACACATGGGGTCTTAAGGAGTCGGAATCAAAGGTAATAGTTTGGTTTTGGTTTTGACTATACAGACACTTCCCAGCATCCCTTGGGCCAGCCCAGAAGGGATAAACAATGATGACATTTCCCCTGTTAGCCACTAGATGGCACTGTGGTACCACTGAGGTCTAGGGGGCTCTGGGAGGGTCTGAAAG